GGGGTAGGCTGTAGAGGTGGGTAGCTGTGGAGGGGTGGCTGCCTATCAGCAGCCAATCAATTGAGGTAGGCAGAATATTTTTTAAAAAATTAGGAAGGGGGTGTCGGCATGGGTGGTGGTGATGGCGAGTGTTTTTTTTTTAATAACCCCCCACAAATTGACGAATAACAGTTATTCATTGCTTCATGGGGCAACTTGGTGCTTTGTGAGTCGTCAAATTTGATGACTTACGAAGTGGGATGACTCGCCAAAATAGTGAATCGTCCCCATCCCTAGTGTTGAGTATTGAGTCATGGTAACTGGACTCACTCTGAATAAGCTACTTGGATGAGTTGTGAAATGTTTCAACCTAACAAGAAAAAAGTCCAGTTGCCCTGACTCAACTTCCAGATAACCTCACCTGGATGACTGAGAATCTTCACAGATATATAACTACTTAAGAGTGTTTTGCACTTAATCAATATTTAGGATTGCTAGTAAGAGCAGTGAGCAAATTGTATTCACTATTATTGTCTTCTAACAACGATAGTCTACTTAAACACCTGTAAGCATGGTAAGTAGACAGAGAATATGTAGAGATATTTCAGAAAGATGTGCCAAGGGTTTTCCAGGTGGTTATTTAGCACCCACTTACAGGATTAAAACACAGATACATTTAAGAGGAAAATACTAGGAAGTTTTTTCAGTGGGGTTAGTTTTTCCATCATTACAATCTACCTTTTAATTTAATTACAAAAAACAATGAGTTCTATTTAAAATTAATTCCTTCAAAATAATGTTTGAACAAAAGGGGGGGGAAGTTTTCAACTTACTTTTGCTCCTTCTGCAAGATCTTCTTTGATTCATACAGATGCAACACTGATATATGTATTGGTTCATCATTCTGAGAATGGTTTGGGTTGCCTTTGCTTGGGTTAAGATTTTCTAGAAAGACTGGAGTATATTTTCCTCCAGAGTCAAGAATTTCCAGATTTTCAGTTGGATAACCATTCTGAAATGAAAAATGTCCTTCTTAGGTGGGCTAGAAACCTACTGGTATTTGCATAAGAGTCACATAATGTGCCATGGCTAATGAATGGAGTGCATTTTGGTCATTTGCTTATTCACACTTATGATTGTGCAACCCAAATCCATTCTGGCACCTCATCAATCAACTTCCGTTAGCTGCAGCAAGTTATGCAAAACATATGTGAGTGGAAGCTGGATCCCAGCTTTACTTACAGTATACATAATCAGTAGTACACTTGCACTAAAACCTGAATGACTTTCTTGAAACTACATCCTGTGTTTGGTGGCAGTTCATCAAATAGACAGTATTGTACCATTCAGTACTTTAATGGAAGGCAGATATATATAATGTGGCAGTCTTCCATTGAAATAAAATGGTCTTCTAAATAGACATACTGTATATCTATAAGTGTCTATTTGGAAGACAGCCACATTTTATTTCAGTGTGACTTATCCCCAAAAGATTGCAGTCTCAGTAAATATAAAGCTATGGAGAAAATTGTTCATCCCTTTAATTATAGAAATGCAGATATGTATTTACCTGGCAGGCACTTTCTAACTCAAACATATTCTGCATATATTGAACTGGATCTTTCTCCAGAGGTCCTAGACACTCTTCTTTTATCCAGGACATTTCAGAAGGATCAAATTTGTTTTTCCAAGAGTGTTGAGCTCTCATTTCTTCATTTTCTCTGAGCAAACCTTGGTTAATTTTTTTCAGAGCACTCAGCTCTTTCACAGATTCTTCTAGCTTGAGCTTTAGCTGCCTGCTCTCCTCACGAGCTTTATTTTTTTCTGCTCGAACTTTGCTCCACTTCTCCCTCCAGTTGGCAGTGCAGTCTGACCACCAGCGCATGGTCTTCTCCATCTGGGCTGCCCTGGCCTTGGCTTCTTCAAGTTCTCGAAATCTTATTTCCTCATAAATTTCCCAGTCACTGCTCTTATAATTGTATATAGGAGGCTGGTAGGAAATAGTTGGAAGAACTACAGGCACTATTACATTTGAGCTGCAGGTACTACATATTGTTGCACAGTCTCTTACTTCTGTTTCATTAGGTTCCTTTGGCTGGTTCCTGTGGAGTTGCTTTTCTTCCATTATGTTGCACACAGAGTCAACATTCATGTCCCAGGATAACTCATTTGTTTCTACACCTAAAGCAGAAAAGGATATTGAAATTTATAAACATTTTAACCAAATAAACCTCCAACTGGCAGGACCATTAATAACTCATTATTTTATTCAGTGCAAACTGTCTCATTTATTTCACCATATCCTAAGACTAGCCTCACTAAGAGCTTACCCTGTGTAATTAAAGTTAAATTACCTTTTTTTTTCTTGCAACAAACTTATAGGAAACAATAAATTAGGGAGAATGAAGATCATTTCACACAAGTGACCTGTTTTTCTCCTTAATTCACTGGAATGTGATCTCCCTCCCCACCCCCCACAGTCTCTGTGCAGCAAGATCCCAATTGAACCATCTCTTTAATGCAGTGTTGTTACTTATATCAGCATTCTGTGGTCAATCATAAACCATCACTCTAAACTCAACATCAGATCCCTTTGACATTCCAAAGTGGAGTAAAACAAGGCTGTGTCCTCACGCCGACCCTGTTTGGGATCTTTTTTGCTGTCATGCTGAAGTATGCCTTTGGAACTGCAACAGAAGGTGTCTATCTCCGGACTAGATCAGATGGAAAGCTCTTCGATCTCTCTAGATTGAAAGCAAAGACCAAAGTCCAACTGAAATGTATACAGGACTTCCTCTTCACCGATGATGCAGCCATTGTTGCCCACCCTGCTCAAGACCTCCAACAACACATGAATCATTTTAGCAAGGCCTGTCAAGACTTTGGACTAACAATCAGCCTGAAGAAAACACAAGTCATGGGCCAGGGTGTGGACTCACCTCCCTCTATTACTATCTCCACGCAACAATTGGAGGTTGTTCATGACTTTGTGTACCTTGGCTCAACGATCTCTGACACTGTCTTCCTAGATGCTGAGCTGGATAAACACATTGGGAAAGCAGCTACCATGTTCTCTAGACTCACAAAGAGAATATGGCTTAATAAGAAGCTGACAGCATACACCAAAATCCAGGTCTATAGAGCCTGTGTCCTGAACACACTTCTGTACCGCAGTGAGTCCTGGACCCTTTGTGCGCGGCAGGAGAGGAAGCTGAACACCTTCCATATGCATTGTCTCTGATGCATTTTTGGTATCACCTGGCAGGACAAAGTTCCAAATACAGTAGAGTAGTCCTAGAATGAGCTGGAATTTTTTAGCATGTACACATTACTGAAACAGTGATGTCTACATTGGCTTGGGCATGTCGTGAGAATGACAGATGGTTGGATTCCAAAAGATCTCCTGTATGGAGAATTAGTGCAGGGAAATCGCCCCAGAGGGAGACCACAGCTGGGATACAAGGATATCTGCAAGCGGCATCTGAAGGCCTTAGGAATGGACCTCAACAGATGGGAAACCTTGACGTCTGAGCGTTCAGCCTGGAGGCAGGCAGTGCATCATGGCTTCTCCCAATTTGAAGAGGCACTTGTCCGGAAGGCCAAGGCAAAGAGGCAGTCCCGAAACCAGCAAAACCAAGGAGCTGGTCAGGGGACAGCTTGTATTTGTCTTCAGTGTGGAAGAGATTGTCACTCTCAAATCGGCCTTCTCAGCCACACTAAACACTATTCCAAGACCTCCATACAGAGCACATTATCATAGTCTCTCGAGACTGAAGGAGGCCTACACACTCTAAACTCCAATGAAACTGTAAATTCAAGACTTGGGCTTTCTCAAAATCAAGTTCCATATGAACCTCATCATGGGAGAAACAAACCTGGTGGGCCAAATTGATGTTTCCGGAGGAAAGACAGGTGAGCTCCTAAAGATTGCAGCCAAGATTGCTGATGGGGAGGGGAGTTGTCACCCATCCATGATTTACATATTAGATGGAGGCAGGGATTATGAAGTTACAGGTCTTCCTATCATTCCTTTATTCTCTTCTGAAATTCTGCCCCCCCCCATTTAGCACAAGGTCAAGGTGCTAAATCAGGGGCCCCTAGCATTGTGTTCATTTTTGCTTTATGTTGTGGCTGTTTTTGCCTAGTCCAAGAGAAACAGGTTGTGGTTTTGGTCAGTTTAGCCATATTTGTTACATTGGGATGAGTTTTACTTCATAAGCTAATTTGGTTATTTGGGTTATTCATTTGACGTGTTTTTACTGTGACTTCAAAGTTCATTTGTCATATTTGGTCTACATAGACCGGTTTGTATAAGAATTCTTCCAAGAGATAAGGTAGGGAATCACCCTTTATGGTGACTGATGATTTCTGAGGCTTGTAACTCTGGACTCTCAAACCGGGAGCAGGAAAAGGATCACCTTTTTCTTTTAACCTTATAGTTGTAAGGACCAAGGTGAGGTTAGCTGATAACAGCTACAGCCAGGTGTACTAGGATTTAAAGTAGTCTCTCAGGCTGTCTGAAGAATTCTTGCCTTCTTGCCTATGAGGTTTTATGCAAGGCTGATAGCTTGGTTTAGATTTTATATTCCTACACATTCCCATGTCATAGTTTTGTTTAAATAAATGAGCCCCTACGTAAATCTATTTCTCCTGTGTTATCTGTTTACTGATGCCTCAGTCTGCCATGCTGTCCATTATTGAAAGCTAGAGATGTCCACAGAATCCAAAAATCTTGGAATGTGAGTGGCTTTGATTTCTTTTCTCTTTCTTTGTACATTAGTTGGTTGTTATCATTATTGATGTTTTTTTCGATCACTTCTGTGAAGATGGCACACATTGGAGAGGTGTCATAGTCAAAAAGATGCAAAGTTTCAGAATGATTGGTTGGTTCATGGATGAGGGAATTATAATGCTTGAAATCTTATTTAAGGAAAGTCCCATTTACAGTGAAGTTTGGATCAGGCGTTCCAGTGAAACACCAGCAAAGCGAAAGCTCTGATGAATATTTTTTAAAAAAATGCAAAAATGACTGAATGACAAGAGGGGAAAAATAACAAAGAAGGGCAGAACTTAAAAACACCATGCACCATCCTACCAAACATTAAATGTAGACATGTGTTGTTGCTGTAAAAGAATGTGGAAGCTCCTGGATATCTTAACTGATTTGCATTCTTCCCCCCAAGCAAAATGATTCGTAATTAGAGATGGGCATGAACTGGGGGTTTGGTGTGGTTTGTTTACCAGCCAAATGGGTGATCTGCAGTTCCAAGCCTCACACCCTCCAGCAAGCACCCACTCAGACACAGCATCCAGAGAAGGTGGGGCAAGGCGCTGCACCCAAGTGGGCACCTGCTGGAGTGGGCAGGGTGCTGAACCCTGCCCGCTCCAGCAGGCGCCCACTTGGATGCAGCTGTTTGGCCAGTAAAGAAACGGCAAGTCTTGTGTAAAACATGAGCAATGATTTAGAAGTGAACTTATTGATCATTCAGCCCTACTCCTTCATCCCCACTCTCCCTTGCTATAGATGAATGCCACCAAACAAACAAACAAACATTTTTTTAATGGTGGCACTAGATTTCTGTCATTGGAAAACCACAGGTCCCACCAGGCTACAACAAAGTTGAGGATCAGCACACGTAGCTTTCAAGAGGGGTCTCTGCTTCAATTGGGAAAGCATCCAATGAGGTCTAAAGGTGTCTGTTGTGAAGTGGGGCTTTGGCTGAATCTGCTAAGCATCTGTATTAAAAGCCATATGTATCTGGAGACCATGAAAAGGAAAGTTTAACAAATACTTTATCTTTATGCATTCTCTCTTCTCTCAGCTTGAATATTTCTGGGAACATATAGTCTACTTAAAGAAATTTATATTTCCGTTTAAAGAAGTGTTCCTATTATATTTTAAAGTCCGTATTTTGCTTGATTTATCGAGACAAAAATATTTTGAAGTGCATAAAATCAGACCCAAAGCCAATGAAAACAAGATCTCGTTCATTCTCCTTTTTACAACCAATTTTTAATCCAAAACATAAATAAAACTAATCTGCACAGCTTGGTTCTCCCATGAGGTCCAATGGATACTACATCTGAGTTCAACTGACAATAGTCACAGCTTGAAGACCACCCAGGTAACTTAGGAAAGCTTTGGATTTGTTACTCTTAGGTTCTACAAAATAAGTTCTTGAGCTCTAGAAATGCTGATTGAGATACAGGGTGTTTGGTTATAAATCTCAAGCACACAATTTACAAATTGGGACTCTTGTCTAGGTTTTCTTTGAATTTGTAACCATGCTGCATGGTGCTTGTTTAGCAGACCTGACCTTAAAACAGATGATAAAGATAGCATGTAATTAAGCTGAAAGCCTGTTAATGCAAAAGAATGTCAGAGGTAATTTTTCCCTGTTTGTGAAATTAGATCTTGAAGGAATTCCATGCGGAAATTCTAAAGACCACTCACCAAACAGACGATTGGTATATAAAAACAGACTGTATTTTATATAGTCCAAAGAATGAGAGAAATTATTACTTAAATACTCGGGTGCTAGTTAGGAACTTCCCTCTTCCAGACGCGGGCTCTCTCGAACAACTGTTACCAGCTATGGATTCCCAGGCTGTATTTTAAAAAAGAGAAATGATGTATATGCAAAGACTCTCAGAAAACCCAAATTTCTGTTGCCTATTTATTTTCAAAAATGAAAAGAAAATAGGAGTGTTTCTGAGTGAAAAATGAGTGGACAAAGGACTATGTGGAAAGTGCAATGTTTGCTCTGTAAGCAGTGGCCAAGTGTTGGTCTCCCTTCAATCAGCAGATGACTGGCCACTGCAGAAAACTCTACAACAGTGGTTCTTAACCTTGGGTTACTCAGGTGTTTTTGGACTGCAACTCCCAGAAGCCTTCACCACCAGCTGTGCTGGCTGGAATTTCTGGGAGTTGCAGTTCAAAAACACATGAGTAACCCAAGGTTAAGAACCACTGCTCTATCAATATTGATATGTGGACCTACGTATCTGGATTGCCCGATTTTCATTTATATTATCACTACATTCTCTTTACTTAAGCTTACAGCATTTTCTGGTTCTACTAAAAGGAGAGCAAAAGAGAGCCAAAGCTGCAAATGATACTAATGTGAATAGGATATTTCAATAAGAGTTGTAAAATAAACAATACATTCTGGTTTACATCACTCTTAGAGGCACAGGGTGTAGCTTGCTGGAATAATTATGCATTTAATACTTTTATAATTTGCTTTATCTTCTATCGTGGAATGCAAGTTAATATTTTATCTAAAGTTTCCAGGTGGTTGACCACCCATCCACTGCTCTGCCCTGTAGGCCTTCTAGAACCTAGGAGATGAAACATGTAGTTCTCAGAGGAAAGCCCCAGCAGATGAGTTTAAAAAACAGGCCAAATGGATGCATTGTATTAATTTTTGGCATTGAAAATTGTTTGTGGTACAGTTAATGGATGAGATCATGTTTTCCTTAGTTTTTGGTCTGTTCTTTTAATGGGGTTGGAAACATCTTGCCTTTAGCATTATTCACTGTTGCGATGCATCTTTTTTTTCAATTCATCAAATGTTTGGCCATGTCAGATATGTAGCAAGAGACAGCTAAAAAAATGTGTCAAGCCATAGGCTGGCTGTTGTTGGTATGGTCTTTGGTAATACTGATACAAATGTCTTGGTTAGCTGGTTTCTGTACAGAGCTGCAATGAGAAGAATTTAATGTATATTGATTTTTTATGTCGCAATAAAGAACATTTTTTCCTGCTAAGGACAATCTGCAGACAATTCAACTGATTGGCATGGATGGATTAGTTTACTATCTGTCCACCTTCATGCTAAGAAAAAAAAGAAAGTGAAGTCAAATTATTGGCAAAATGCCTAAAAGAAGAACACAGGGGAGACCAATCTGGAGTCATTTTGTGCAACATAAATTACAGTTGACTTCAGAAACAGTTATCTGCATTCCTGTATGTCCTCAGATGTCTAGTAAATAAAGTCCTATCTATTAACAATGTGATTTCATCCACATTTTTCTTGCTAAATTGTTTATCATGTTTAAAAATGTTTTGTATATGGACTTTGAAAGTGCCTGGCGTATTCTGTGACAAAAGAATATCCACAAATTATGAGTTACAGTATTCACTGTTTTCAACTCTCCTTCCATTTACCTTATTCTGAGGACAAATAGAGAAAAACAGCACAGAAGATGTTGTGTCTACATTGCAAGGCATAGGAGTTCGTATCCATGGACATTCTAAGAGACTAGAAACCACTGCATAAAATATGGCCCAGGGTCACCTAGTGAGGTTGCATGGCAGAACAGGGATTCAAATGCTGGGCTCTTCAGTCCTAGTCCAAAGTTCTAACTACTACACTGCATTGCACTTCTGTCTTCCAGAACTAAATTATTGTATTCATCTTTTAAAAAATATCTAAAAAGGTAAAGGTTCCCCTTGACAATTTTTGTCCAGTCGTGTTCGACTCTAGGGGGCGGTGCTCATCCCCGTTTCCAAGCCATAGAGCCAGCGTTTTGTCCGAAGACAATCTCCCGTGGTCACATGGCCAGTGCGACTTAGACACGGAACGCTGTTACCTTCCCACCGAGGTGGTCCCTATTTATCTACTTGCATTTGCATGCTTTCGAACCGCTAGGTTGGCGGGAGCTGGGACAAGCGACGGGAGCTCACTCCGTCTGGTGGATTTGATCTTACGACTGCTTGGTCTTTTGACCCTGCAGCACAGGCTTCTGTGGTTTAGCCCGCAGCGGCACCACGTCCCTAAAAAAAAAGGTATACGATAGCTGTGCTCCCCTGCTAGAACCTCCAAACAAGCTCAAAAAAATCTCTATGAACATACAAATTAGAACAGTGCTTGGAGAACAAAATAAAGAATAAAAGACTAGCTTGCCAGCTTAATGCTAGAATTGCTTCTTAAGGAAACAATTCCCAGCTGTGTTTAATAGTGCTTCAAGAACAGCTTGCTAGCAAAAGCACCAATAATGTTGGTTCAATTTGCTAGCATTATGTGGCTTCTAAAGCTATACGATTGGTTTATCTAGTTCTTCCTTTCAGTGTTCCTAAATGGGTCCCATTTTTCACTCAGTATTACAAAGGTGGGGCAGAAACAAATAAAGCTCCTTTTGGGTAGCAATGACATGCGTGGATTAATAAAAATATTGCATCAAGCAATATGTGTATGTTTTCTAGAGGAGCAGTATAATTATGAACTCTCAGCAGGACTGGCCAATGACACTGTGCTGTGTGAGACAAAACCACAAGGATCATCAAAATCAAGATACATAATATCCAGTGTGGAGTACATTATTTTTGGCATTCCTCAAAAGCAGAACCAAAATTCATGTTCAGAGAGGAAAAGACATGAATAATGATCAAACCTAAGGAACACAGAAGGGTCATTTGTGGCCATTTTGGAACTTTGAGAAAGGTTCTCCAGAGAAAATGTCAGACAAACCAAGACATTATAAGGGTTTGGGTAAGAAATCAGCCTAAATTCAATAGTTCACCCAACTAAAGCACACCTAATGAATCAAAGGAATGTTCGTCCTGACTTATACCAATCTGTTCAAAAGGTCCACTTTAATTGGGTCAACCTAGTGGATTTAGCCCATATCTGTAGTAATATAATAATGGATTCCATTTGGTTATGTGTGAATCTAGGATTCTGAAGATTATAAACAGCTCATTGACATGCAAATAAGACCGAAGCTGGTAGTCAAAGAAAGGAGACATCAAAGCAATTCTTCACAAGTTTCCAAGGAGACAAGATGCTGAAGAAGCATCCTATATCCCTGGATGGTTCTTTATGCAAACAACATGCTACTGAGCTATAGCTAGCTCCTTACAATTGACGTTGGCACCACTATGCTTGCAGTAAACTCAGTTACACTAAGCACTGCTTAACACATCTTTTTCTTGCTTTCTGAAAATCAACACTTTCTCTTGGATGGTCTTACATGGGAAGTAGCTCAAAAGTTTTCTGCATTAAAATCTACATCTGGCATTTTATGCTGCAGCTGTAGCTGCAGTTTCATAAAGGTTCATATATGAGTAGAACACTCTGCTTTTCAGTTTAGTTGCTTATCTGATGCAAATGCCAAGTAAATATTTAACTTCTTCCTCTTGCTTCACCTTCTAGCATCTGAGTGACCAGCTGATTATATATCAGAGTATACTTGTGACACCAGAGCTATTTTCCTTGCAGATAATCCAAAGTTTGGTGGCCACAAGGATCTCTTCATCTGAAGCCACTGATCTTACCACATTCTTAGCAAACATGTTTATTCGGTTGGGGAAAAGAGTGAATTATTAAAAGCATATTCTTGTCATATATTATACAATGAAGCAGCAGAACAAACATAGGAAATGCTGGTTTGAAATTACAAACATAGACTATTTTAACCTTCTTCCTACAGATTAACTGAGCCAGATGGATTGCAAATGAGAAAGCAATTCTCATCATTCAGCTCTTTTCAGTAATGAACTACTGGATTGCTGGCTGTTGTCTGTCCTTCATTGTTTCCTCTCAGATCAGGCATATAATTGTAATTACTTCCAGGAGACTTGGAAATCATAACAGAGATGGCTTTCCAGAACAAATCTATTCCACATATGCAAACAATATCTATATTTATACAGAAATTGCATGCAAGTGACTTAGAGTGCTGGTCCCAATATGTGTGATTTTTTAATTAATTTAATCATCTGATGTATTTCCTGTTATAATGCTATCAGAAAAAATAAAACAACTAGTTAATTATCTTGTAACAATAATTATATTGATTTGTATATCTTTTCCTATTAAAAACAGCATGCCAAGATCTTTCTTTCACTTCCTTGCTTAATCTGAAAGCCTTGCCATTATCATTCTTACAGTTTCCAAAAGGACACAATAAAAAGAAACTTGACAGATGTGTTTTTAGTTGACACACAAATACTAGATGATATTTGAAACATGAGAAATTGTAGGAAGTCACCAAAAATCAATTCAATCAATAGTGGGCAAAAAGTAAACAAGGGTTTAGTGATAGGGTCTAGTAACAAGGGTCTAGTTTGTGGACAAGAAGCCAGGTTTCTAACTTCCTGTTGTTGTGTTTTTTTAGCATCAACCAAAAAAACCCCCTTTACCTTGCAAATTAAGTGCTGAAAGCAAGAAAGCCAAGGTAGGGAACAAATAGGGAATGATCTCTATGGGAGATCCAAATCTGATGCTGAAAAAAAATTTCTCAGCTGAGCTTGGGGAAATGTACTTTGAGCCAGAATTTTATACTTGACTGCAGCTGAAGTTGTTGTGAAATATAAAGCAGATCCCATCATCCTGAAGCCTGCCCACTTCTGAATTAGAGCTGCTACCACAGCTTGAACAAAATGACTGTGCTAGCTGGCCATTCTGAGTCTTAAAAAGTAACTTTTCTAAGCTCTGTCTATCTCATCTTGTTATCTGTTTGCGTATCTTATTGACTGGGACCCAAATAATGATCTGTCTGTCTGTTTTTCTGTTTAGACCAAACTGTACATGGACAAACTGTAAGCAGATGTGCCCTTCCCATGAGAAGCTTGCACCCTAGCAGTTTGTGCAGGAGAAACAAGTGGAGACCAGGAGACTGAGGGAAAGCATGCAAATTTATTCCTTCCAGCACAAACTTTTGGTGGCAGCCTACCTTGATCTTGCTTGTCTTCTACTGCTGCCCACCATCTGAATTTACACTTAGCCTATTTTTTCTTGTTTGTTGTTTGCCTGTTATGTTTGATTGCTATTTTGCTGTGTTGAAAGAAATAAAATTGCAAGTTTTCCCTCACTCTCCTGGTCTACACTTGTGCATTATATCACACAACATTGTTCTTTTCCCAACCAATTGTCCTCCGAAGGTTTTTCACAACAGTTCCCAGCTAGTATGCTGGATATGATGTGGCTAACAGGTCAAGGCAACTCCAATGCACCAGTGTGGGAAAGGCTGTAGAACAGTATGGGAGTGAAGAGCGGGAAGGTGTACGTTCTATGTTTGAAGTTGTTCTACTTGACATACATCATCCTGGAAGAACACCTTTGAGCTGCTCTATGGTCTTTGGGGGAAGAGCAGGTTATATCTATAATTAATAAACAAACAGATATAAATCATGTGTTTAGTTGTGGTTATTTACAGTCTTTCTTTGTATAGTCATTCACCATTGCAGAATGCGATGTCACTAAACATACCCAGAAATAGTTTCTGATGCTCACTTATAAAGCCCTTCAAGGTCTGGGGCTATGTTATTTGACAGAGCATCTCTCCCCAAAGTCATCTGCTCACTCTACCAGATCCTCACAGGCCATGCCCCTGCAAGTAGCCACACCAAAGGAGCCCAATTTTTTTTTACAAGAAGCCAGGCCTTCTTGGTGGTGGCACCAACTCTTTGGAACCACTTTCTGACCGAGCTATGCCTGGTCTCTAATTTTAGGAGGCTGCTGAAGACTCATCTCTTCCAGGAAGCTTTTGGTGGCAGCTTCCCTTGATCTTGTCTGTCTTCTACTGATGCCCACCATCTGGGTTTACACCTTTGTCTATTTTTTCTTGTTTGTTGTTTGCCTGTTATTATGTTTAATTATGTTATTTTGCTTTTTGCTTTTGGTTTTTTATATGTACACCACCCAGAATAGTGCTGTGCGCTAATGAGGCAATATAAAAAAAATCAGAATTTATTTATTTTTTCAAAAAAGAAGGAATAAAAATACAGAAAATCCCAATGATTTATGTTCACAGTGCTTATTTTCAAACAATATCGTATGTCATTAATTTAAAAAAATTTATTTTTTTTAAAAAACTGCTGAAATTCACCACCATCAGTCAATGTACTTCCCAAACAAAAACATTTGCAGGACAGAGTTATTCTAAAATCAGGCTGTGTTCATAAATTAATTCCTGAAACATGACTGCATCAGTAGTAATATATGTGAATGTAATGTGCCCAGATCTGCTTTTCAAAGAAGCCACTTTGGGTTGACTGCCACCTACATTTGGCTTTTAAAAATTAAGAAGAATAAAGTATTATGGCGGGCCTTATTCTAACTAATTTGGACATAATATACAGCTGGCATGAGGCAAAGGGCTCACTTTTATCTAGCAAACATTTATTAAATTAAACTAATTCTGATGTTATATGAATTGGTAAGCTTTTAAGTGTTAAAAAGAAACATCTGGTAATTTAGTGAAATTTGGAAATTCTCCATTACAGATCTAGTATATAACTCATCTGCATGTCATTTTGGTTGTTAAATTAGCAAACCCCAACTTAGATACTGCCTTGCCTAAGATTATTCCATCTGCATTTGATACAACAACGGATGTGCTACATATGTGTAACAGAATAATGTTCTGGATATTTTCCAAAAATAAATTGACTCACTGACTAATTTAAGTTTATAAATATGCCATTGTCAGAGAGATTCTAGGATCACCTATCTCACACCACATTCTGGTTTCAATTTAGGAGCCAAATACATAAAAGGGAGTCCTACTGCTCTCCATAGGTTAGTTTGTTTTGTGTGGTATTAGGAGAAGTGTGGACTCAGTGGGCAAGCTGAGAAATTTACTCAGTGACTCTGTGAGTCAATCCTTGCAGGGACTCCTCGAACAACACAGTTTAAGATCACAGTGAGGATAAACAGATAACACAGATGAGTCTAATACAAAGAACCAATTACAAATCACTTATTTTTGTTAGATTCAACATTTATGAGCACACCTTTTTATATCCTGAAAATGTCTCCATTACACTATTTTCATAATCATAAACATTTCATTTTGCTTTGTAAAATCTTTGTGATATATGAAAAGCAGAATAGATATGTAACTGAATTTCTCCGTAACTTTACTGACCAGTTATTCTCAGTCCCTAGTATGGTAGGTTTATACATATATAATTATATTTCTAGGTGGCCTGGCATGCTCTGGTCCATGGGGTCAGGAAGAGTCGGACACGACTTCACGACTAAACAACACCAACGTTTGAAATGCCTTCCTCAGATGTGGAGTATGCACACCTACAAAATGGGGATGTCTGAATGCTGGACCTTACCTTTGGAAAGGGACATCAGGAATGACCAGAAATGAGTGTTATGGCCCTTCATCCTAAGGTTCAATTTTATTTCCTCTGGGGAAGACCGGGGATTATGTTTAGGTCACTTTTCATAGAAATAATCTCATGGTGCAGTGGTTAAACTGCAGTACTGCAGTAAAACCTCTGTTCATGGCCTGAGTTCAATCCTAATGGTTTTAGGAAGCCAGCTCAAGGTTGATTCAGCCTTCCATCCTTCTAAAGTCGATAAACTGAGTAGCCAGCTCACTGGTGTGTGCGCAATATGTAGCCTGCATAATTAAAATATAAACCACCCAGAGAATGATTTAAGCATTATGGGGCAATATATAAGCAGCACATTTTGCCTTTGCGTTGCCTTTCAATAATCTCTGCTGTACTCTAACAACTAGAAAAGATAGACTTACCACACTCCTTGAATTAAGAGGACAAATCCCTAGGAACACCTCCAGCTATGAGGCCTCATAGAAGGATATCAAATAAGTAAAGGGTCCTTTAAGGATCACAGTTCATATTGCAGAGTTTTGAATCTCAGTTTAAAAGTCCTCTAGGTGTGCAGCAGAAGTGCAGAGATTCACAAAGCAGAATAGCTTCACATTCCCCAATTTAGTTCACCTCTTTTTCTCAGGAGCTGGCACTTACAGTCTCAATAACTGACTCTGAAACATTATTAGGAGAAAGAATAAAAGCCACTTTCTTTATTTACAATTGAAGAGATCAAACAACAAACTAAGAACAATCAAGACTGCTTGCAGCAACAAGGCTCAGCAAACCAACTGCTTCCAATAGACAACGGAGAGGAAAAACACTCTTAATAGAGTGGCATGGCTCTCTTTGAATCAGGGGCAGGAAGGAACTATTGGTTAGTGCTGTTCGTGATTGACAGTCACCTCAGCCTAGAAAGGTTCCTCCCAGCCACACTTACTGAAGAGAGTGTGCAAGGCTGCAAAAACTCCAACAGTCCACTCCAAGAAATGTAGGCCCAGTGCCAAAAAGGTCTCAATGGCCTTGATAAGACCTCAGGTGGCTTTAGCTCCCACTTCAGAAAACATCTTTTTGTAGCTCAGCCAATGAGAGTTTTTGTCAGTCTCTCCCTCTCCCCCCCCCCATTTCTCTATCTTGTTTTCTTAATCTGCCTTCTCTTTGCTTTGCCTTAACTTCATTTTACCAGGTTGGCCTCATTGTCTGCCATTTTCCTTGTGAGT